TTTGATCTACACGTCCATAAAAGGTCTCCTGATGGTGTATGTGTGTGTACGTGCTTGACATAAATAAAAGATACACTGAAGAACTGAAGATATTGAAAAGAAATCCGATAAAATATTTTTACACAGAACAGCTGCATGTCTGGTCTCTTTAGCTTGATGTTAATTTCTGACAAGTAGCTTCAAATTTCTCAGTGCAAGATTCTTGTTCTTTCAGCTATTCTGTAAAACTTCTCTTTTTAAGCCCAGGCACCAACACGTTGCTCTCTTTTCTCCTCTTTCCTCATACATCTGCATCAGACAGATTATATTCGTTCAGCAAGACAGCTAAACTCACTGCCTTTCAAACTTGTGCAATGTATTACATTCTCCTACTTGACTCTCATTTTAAATAAAACTTTGTTCTTCATCTACTCGGAGACCAGGAAAGGGACAATTTGGCTGCAAAAGGACATGCTCTGGGATCAAACAAGGCAGGGAGGGGGTTTGTGGAGTGGGTACAGCTCCACATCTGAGTTTCGATTCACCTTCATCCTCCATCATTTGTGGTTTTTCTGGGTCTAGCAGTAATCCGAGCAGCTCGTTTTGACAGATTTAGAGTGTTTCATACAGTAATTGGAATCTCACTGCTTTAATGTCTTCATTCAAACAGTTTCTCTGATCGGGGCACTGAAAGGGAAGTCTTAAGCTATACATAGGTTTATGTGAAAAAAGGAGGTTTATGTGATTATGGTAATAGTTCATAAAATCTAGCACACAAAGAATAATTTAGAATTCATTTATTCATAACAGCAGAGGTTAATATTCTTCTTGCCTACAAAAGAGTTTCAGACATTAATCTTTTCTCCTGGATTTCTGCTATTCTGCAGAGCTAGTTTGGATTGCTTCAGTATTACAGATGCCCTAACTTCTTTTTTTGTCCTTTTTAGTCTCTTCAAAATACTATTTTTCCTTAAATAAATAATGTTGCTTCCATGAAGATGGTATCAAAGCTGTCTTCCAACTTTCCTGCAGATTTATGTAAGTATTTGAACATAATGCTGAATTCTTGTCTCTGTTTTGCAGCTAAGCATTTTACTGATACAGAATAAATCACTTCCCTACAACTGAAGATTTAAGATTTAAGCAACTTATCATATCCTTTCATAATTTGAGAATTTCTTGTTGATGGTGCATTTGCTTAAGGAATAGGGGAATAGTGTGTGTACATGTCTGTTTAGATATGTTATTTATATTATTTCAGTAGGATACTGTTTTTTCCTTTTTTTTTTTAAATTTTTCTGATGACCGTCCTCTATTTCTTCAGTGCCTGTCTTATCTAAGATGCTTCAAACTTCCCTAAATGTAATTTTAAACTGAGCTCATAAAAGGCTGGCAACAACTTCAAATACTTAACTAGTTACTTGGGACCAAATTGTGTACTCCCTTAGCCCAAATTTGTTGAAAGCTTTGCAGTTGAAAGCAGAAAAAAACTGGCATGCAGCCATGAGAAAATTGAAGAGCAAAGACCATAGGCACAGTGATTCAGATTAATCTCTGCATTAACTTCACTGAAGCAATACATCTGGAACATATTAAAACAATTTTGCTGTGTGATCTGTCAGTTACGTGCTATCATTCTAGAGATTGCCTCTTTAAAGCCCTGTCCTCCAGGTTAAATGAATTTAGTGACGACAAACTGACAGATCACAGGAGATGCTATTCCTTAGAGGTGTCTGTGGGGGGAATCTGTTGCTTTGGGTGTTAAGCCCAATGCCTTTTCATGTTTTTAACGGGGAGCTGAAAATACAGGAAAAATTGCTGTTAATAAAATTTGCAGATGACAACAGGAATAGAGATCTGCTAGAGAAATATGAGTATAGAGAAGGCAGAAAATTTCAGAGGAACACCAATCTAGTCATTTGCCTTTTTCTTAATATGATGTTGGCTAATAAAAACCCCTGACCATACGTGCCTCTGTGCGTGTGTGTGCGCGCACAAGGTTGGAAATAACATAGTTCTCTTTTTAGTTAAACATTGGTGACCTCTGGTGAGCTTCTTGCATGCTCACTCTGCCTGCGAGGTGCATAGCTGGAGAGGGGGCTTTGTCCTTTGGGTCAGATGGGGGTTGGATGAGACCATCAGGCCATCCAGATCCACAGGATCCCCACCTTCCATCCAGATCCACAGGATCCCCACCTTCCCTGGCAATCTCTGCAGTTTTGGAAACATGGCTGTTTTGAGCTGCTTTTGTTTACGGCTTTATTGAGTTTATGGCAGGGGAGCATTGCCCCAAGAGCATTAAGGGAAGTGACCTTTTTGTTTATTCATCTTTACATGCAGGCCGTGAGGAGCAGAAACAAATAAGCTGTTGGCATCACAGAATCGATCTGAAGTGGTTTTGAGTTAGAGGCCAAAAAAGAGAGGTGAACTCCTGACCTTGAAATTTATGGGCACTTGGCTGCTCACTCTAAGACAGTATTGCTTTCTTTCTGGGTCCTTCAGCTTCACCTAATCACCTAAAGCTAGGTATATATTTTTCAATTTAAAGAAAGTCATATGCTGTAACTAAAAGGGGAAAAAAAGTTCAGTTCCAAAAATACACTGTGCCACAGAAAAGAGACACCTTTCCAGAATATAAAAAAAATCCCGGCCAACAACGTGCACATCTGCCCTGCACATCATCATTTCTGTGATAACAGCTAGTGCCTCATTTTTTTCCTGCTTTCCTTGCACAGGCAGTGAGACTGGCATCTGGGACAGCCCCAAAACAGGCCACCTGCAACAAGGCAAGAGGAAACAATTCATTGGGGTGGTTAGCACTTGTCGAAAAGGCAGATACAGCACTGCCACCAATCGTTTGTCTGAGGTTTACATTGGCATCCTTAGTCTCTGCCCCTGGCTCATCAGCAGCATGTGGCACTGCAGAACAGGTGAGTTGCATGGCTGTGCCAGGGCTGCGACATTGTCCCCCTGACAGGGTGGGATGCCAGGCTGTGTTCCCCAGCAGCGGCAGGAGGTGACACCAGGCATGTTTTTGACATTTCACCCTTGCCTGGACCACCCCCCCTCACCCCCAGAACCTTTCAAGGCTGACAGCTGTCCAGTGCCCTTCACACAAAACCTGTCAAGGGGCAAACAATGTCTCTGGGTGGCAATGTAATTGGTGAAGAGTTATGGTCAGTCCAACAGGAAGACCAAAGGCCACGCAGAAGTGCAGGAGCGGTGAGCATGCGGCAGTATCTGCAAGGTTTTCCTCCAGGAATGGGTAGAGCTTGGCCGACCTCACGCTGCTGCTATGGGCTTGCTGCAACCAACAGCAAGACTGCAAAGTACATGCCTGTTAATTAGTGGTGAGAATAAAATATTTCTGAAATAAGATGTATTTATACATGGTTCCATGTTGCTAAGCACAGCTTAAGGAAGATAAATAAATCAACCAATGAAGGCACATTAATTTAATCTTATATGAACCACAAAGATGAAATGCCTTTTTTAACAGTGCGCTATCACAGTGACCCTACAAACATGGTACAACTGCCAGGGTGCAATCTGAGCCTTATTGCTGGCCTGAACTTCCCAGATCCAATTTCCACCTTCTTTGTTTGTTAGCATATGAGTGGAAAACCATGTTTCTCAAAGCTTTTTCATAGGTGATGGGTGTTTTTTCTCTCCCCCTTCCCACCCCACCCTGTTTTTTGGAGTTATTGATTTCCTGATGACCCCCAAAGGTGTGCGGGCACATTGCCTAGCCAGGGCATGAGCACGCTGGCAGCAGATCAGCTCCTTGAGGAAGGAGGAGCAAGAACTGGCTGCATTTACTGGTTATAGGGATAAACACCCCTTCCCTTCAGAGTACATGTCCCAGTACAGATGACATTTCCAGCGTGTGATGCCTATGTTAGCTAAAGAGTGTGCAGTATTTGTCTTTTTGTCCCACAGTGGGCTGAAGGTCCAATAACCCCCCACAAGGAGTTGGACTGTGACATATTTGGGTGCTGAGGTGACAATCGGCCAGCGAGGCACTAGGGGTGGCTATGAGTCCCCACTGCCTCCAGGACAGCAGGGAAAGTGCCAGCGCCAGCACCAGCATCATCACCACTGGCTTACGCAGGTGAGCTGGGTCCACACCTCCAGGGACGGAGGGAAGGGCCCTGGGAGGGCTCCCAGCAAGGACACCTGGAGCCTCCTTCACGCTTGCAGCACACAGCCTCCCTGGTACAAAGTTGCCTGATTTTTGCTCTGGAGAGGTATAGACCCACACAAAATTTATGTTAAATGGCAGTCTGCAAACAGCCTTGAGACCCAGAGCCCCTGGGTGAAGCACAAGGCTGTAGGAGAGGCTGGGTATTTCAAAAGGGTTCAAGGGTGTCTTACAAGCAGCAGAAATCGGCTGCTCAAGTCATGGTGGACTGATTTACAACCTGAGCAATGGCTTTTGTGTTCTCAGAGACCCCTGATACCTGGTTGCAGTGGTCTAAGTTGATCAGTAGTGGAAAATTTACTGGTGTCGGGATGAGGACAACCTAATTAAGGGAGCAAGTCAGGGGATGAAGTGTGATGGGGAAAGATGGGGACAACTCCTTGGTGACTACTTGCAAGATGATCTGTGAGATTTAGGCACTTATCTGCGGCCTAGAAGACAAATTTAGACTCTTTATCATCCAATAACAGACAAAGCATAAATCAGCTTACAAATGCAGGCATTTGTTATTTAGACAGTCTAACTGAAACTTGTATTTCAAAAAGGTTCAGAAGCTTTGGATGCCTTGTTCCTTCACATGCAGTGGTCATTAATTCACCCCAGAGCCCCACCTCCACCCCTCCTTTGCCTTGCCTTGGGTCCCAACTGATCCGTGCCCTAATCCTGCCTGGATCCCAGGTGTTCTATGTCAATACCTGTGTGGTTGTCATGTTTGTCCCATGGTGGAGAGATACCTGTGGGTGGTGCCCCTTGCTCTGCTGAAGACAAGGTGCGTGGGACATGGGTGTGTGTCCAGCAGCTGCAGATGGTCCTCAGCTCCTTCCCTGCCAACTTCTTTTCTCCACAGCAGCAAGATGTCAGAGGTAGAAAATGCTTTCCGTAAATTTGCGATGTATGGTGACACATCTGCCAGTGGCAATGACATGACGGGGAAAAACTTCTCCAAGATGTGCAAAGAGTGTGGAATTATGGATAGGAAAGCCGTGACCAGCACTGACGTTGACATTGTATTCAACAAAGTCAAGTGAGTGTTGCAGGGAGGCACGGTGGGCAGCACAGCTGGGCCGGAGGCAGGCAGACCCTTGTGTGAGGGGCAGCCCCGGGGGGTTCCCACCTGGCTGCCACCCAGCAGCGAGGTAACTTTCCTCTTGGTCTCCCCTCACCATAGGACCAAGGGTGCCCGCACCATCAGCTTTGCTGAGTTCCAGCAGGCCATGAAGGAGCTCTGCGGCAAGCGCTTCAAGGGCAAATCACCGGAGGAAGCGCTGCAGGCAGTGTATGGCCTCATCGAGGGGAAGGAGCCCAGCAGTGTGGGCGCCACGGTGAGTATGAGTTTCCCCACTTGCTGTGCACCTTGAGCTGCCACAGGACCATTCGTTCCTGCTGTAGGGACGTGTGCTGTTCTCACGTGTAG